CACATGTGCGTTAGTTACTTTTTAACCCCTATGTTCACTCAAGTTATATATTTCCTACCTTATATTTGAGTGAGACCACTAGATTCTGTGTAATATGCGAGATCTGAGCGGTTCCGTTTCTCCCAGGCATTTGCACTCTAAGTTCCCATACTGACCGACTGGCCAATGCACCATTTCCATATACATATGCATTAGATTCCTTTTGAACCTTATTCGCCTCACTAGATTTTATATTTCCCACCTTGTGATCGAGTGAGGACCGCTAGATTCCTCTACTTTTTGAGAAACGAGCGTTTCCGTTCTCCCTGGCCCCACTTGCACTATAAGTGCGAAAATGCCGGCCTTACTGGCCGATGCACCATTTTCTCTACACATGTGCGTTAGTTACCTTTCAAACCCTTACGTTCACTCGATTAATATATTTCCTACCTTATATTGAGTGAGACCACTAGATTCCGTGTACTATGCGAGATCTCAGCGGTTCCGTTCTCCTAGGCATTTGCAACTCTAAGTTCCAATACGCGGACCGACCTCGCCAATGCACCATTTTCCATATACATAGCATTAGATTCCTTTCAAAACTTTTTAGCTCACTAGATTTATATATTCCCACCTTCTGATCGAGAGTGAGACCGCTAGATTTTCTCTACTTTTGAGAAACGAGCGTTTCCGTTCTCCTGGCCCCACTTGCACTATAAGCGCGAAATGCCGGCCAGACTGGCCGATGCACCATTTTCTCTACACATGTGCGTTAGTTTACCTTTCAAACCCTTACGTTCACTGATTAATATATTTCCTACCTTATATTTGAGTGAGACCACTAGATTCCGTGTACTATGCGAGATCTGAGCGGTTCCGTTCTCCCAGGCATTTGCACTCTAAGTTCCCATACTGACCGACGTGGCCAATGCACTATTTTCCATATACATATGCATTAGATTCCTTTCAAACCTTATTAGCTCACTAGATTTATATATTTCCCACCTTTTGATCGAGTGAGACCGCTAGATTCCCACTACTTTTGAGAGAAACGAGCGTTTCCGTTCTCCCTGGCCCCACTTGCACTATAAGTGCGAAATGCCGGCCTAGACTGGCCGATGCACCATTTTCTCTACACATGTGCGTTAGTTACCTTTCAAACCCTTACGTTCCTTGATTAATATATTTCCTACCTTATATTTGAGTGAGACCACTAGATTCCGTGTACTATGCGAGATCTGAGCGGTTCCGTTCTCCAGGCATTTGCACTCTAAGTTCCCATACTGACCGACCTGGCCAATGCACCATTTTCCATATACATATGCATTAGATTCCTTTCGAACCTTATTAGCTCACTAGATTTATATATTTCCCACCTTTTGATCGACGTGAGACCGCTAGATTCCGTCTACTTTTTTGAGGAAACCGAGCGTTTCTGTTCTCCTTGGCCCCACTTGCACTATAAGTGCGAAATGCCGGCCAGACTGGCCGATGCACCATTTTCTCTACACATGTGCGTTAGTTACCTTTCAAACCCTTACATTCACTTGATTAATATATTTCCTACCTTATATTTGAGTGAGACCACTAGATTCCGTGTACTATGCGAGATCTGAGCGGTTCCGTTCTCCCAGGCATTTGCACTCTAAGTTCCCATACTGACCGACCTGGCCAATGCACCATTTTCCGTATACATATGCATTAGATTCCTTTCGAACCTTATGAGCTCACTGGGTTTATATATTTTCCACCTTCTAGATCGAGTGAGACCGCTAGATTCCCTCTACTTTTTGAGAAATGAGTGTTTCCATTCCTCCCTGGCCCCACTTGCACTATAAGTGCGAAATGCCGGCCAGACAGGCCGATGAACCATTTTCTTTACACATGTGCGTTAGTTACTTTTAAACCCCTATGTTCACTCAATTTATATATTTCCTACCTTATATTTGAGTGAGACCACTAGATTCTGTGTACTATGCGAGATCTGAGCGGTTCCGTTCTCCCAGGCATTTGCACTCTAAGTTCCCATACTGACCGACGTGGACAATGCACCATTTTCCATATACATATGCATTAGATTCCTTTCGAACCTTATTCGCTCACTAGATTTTATATTTCCCACCTTCTGATCGAGTGAGACCGCTAGATTTCCTCTACTTTTTGAGAAACGAGCGTTTCCGTTCTCCCTTGGCCCCACTTGCACTATGAAGTGCGAAATGCCGGCCAGACTGGCCGATGCACCATTTTCTCTACACATGTGCAATTAGTTACCTTTCAAACCCTTACGTTCACTCGATTAATATATTTCCATACCTTATATTTGAGTGAGACCACTAGATTCCGTGTACTATGCGAGATCCGAGCGGTTCCGTTCTCCCAAGGCATTTGCACTCTAAGTTCCCATACTGACCGACCTGGCCAATGCACCATTTTCCATATACATATGCATTAGATTCCTTTCGAACCTTATTAGCTCACTAGGATTTATATATTTCCCACCTTATGATCGAGTGAGACCGCTAGATTCCGTCTACTTTTTGAGAACTGAGCGTTTCTGTTCTCCTGGCCCCACTTGCACTATAAGTGCGAAATGCCGGCCAGACTGGCCGATGCACCATTTTCTCTACACATGTGCGTTAGTTACCTTTCAAACCCTTACGTTCACTCGATTAATATATTTCCTACCTTATATTTGAGTGAGACCACTAGATTCTGGGTACTATGCGAGATCTGAGCGGTTCCGTTCTCCCAGGCATTTGCACTCTAAGTTCCCATACTGACCGACCTGGCCAATGCACCATTTTCCATATACATATGCATTAGATTCCTTTCAAACCTTATTAGCTCACTAGATTTATATATTTCCCACCTTCTGATCGAGTGAGACCGCTAGATTCCTCTACTTTTTGAGAAAAGAGCGTTTCCGTTCTCCCTGGCCCCACTTGCACTATAAGTGCAAAATTGTTGTGAGAATAAGCGAACAGGAATGAATGAAAGAAGTGAAATGAGTACCTTTCAAACCCTTAGAATTGTGTACCCCCTATAGGCTAACCCACTGTAGCCTACACAAGCATAACATGTATAATGTTTGACACACCCCCATAGGCAAAGTGGGGGAGAACAAGGGGTCAAAAGACCAGTCAAGCAAGCAAAGCAAGCTCAGGGTGGATCACAAAGTCACCACACAGTCCGAGCACAAGAGCAGGGCCAGAGGCCAGTTCACATGCAGGAGTACAGACATATATATAAAACTAGACAAGCAAGAGCAGGTACATATATATGTCACAGTACAAGTAAAGTCAAGAGGAGAGCAAGTGAGGGAAGACAGGCACAAGACCCAGCTGGGTGCAAAAGCGCTGATGATCACAAGGCGCGAGTGCCTTGGTGAACACATCAGCAGTGTTGGCCTCAGAGGCCACGTACGCAAGTCGCAACTGACCACGCTGCTGCAGCTCACGAGCAAGGAAGTAGCGGAGAGCAATGTGCTTCGTTCTGTGCTCCAAGCGCTGCTGTCAACACAAGACCAGCATGGCCTTGTTGTCTACGTACAGCACTGGAGAAGAACGAGGCGGCTCTCCAAGGTCAGTCAGCAGGTAGGTGAGCCAGCGAAGCTCCTGTGCAGCCATGGCCCCGGCGTAGATCTCAGCCTCACAACTGGAGCCGAGAACTGAAGACGAGCGAGTAGACCGCCACGAGACAGAGCCGGAACCAAGGCTGAAGGTGTAACCCTGTGACGACCGCTGCGTAGCCTGGTCGTCAGCCCAAGAAGCGTCCGCGTGGCCTGTAAAAACCACTGGACTCCGCCCTCCAAGCACTAGCCCCATGCGCGACGTACTGCACAGGTAGCGCAATACCCTCTTCGCTGCAGCCATGTGCTCTGGTCGTAGTCTCCCAGGAGCAACATAGCGTGCAAGGACGCTCAGAGGGTATGCAAGGTCAGGTCGAGTGCAGGTCATCAGGTACATGAGGCAGCCAACAAGCTCTGCATACGGACCACTCGACTCTACGGACTCATCCGAAGGCAGAGCTGAGAGCGAGTGGCGAGTAGGCAGAGGAGTGGCCTGAGGCGAGGAGTACGTGAAGCCGAAGCGCTGAAGGACCTGCTGCACCATGTGTGACTGAGTCAAGGTAATGGTGCGGCGTGCTCTGTCCCGAGTGATCTGCAAGCCAAGGTAGCTGCGCAGTTCACCCAGGTCTGTGCACATGTGTCTCTTCAGCAGTTCGGACTTCACGTAGGCGAGTCCAGCAGTGTCCGCTGTGGCAAAGACCAAGTCGTCGACATACACGAGGATGTAGAACGGCGGCAGTGAAGTGTCAGTGCGCAGAAACAGCGACGGGTGAGCAGTAGAAGGAGCAAACCCAAGAGCCGCAAGCGTAGTCCTCAGTGTGTCGTGCCACTCATGCGGTGCCTGGCGCAGACCGTAGACTGGCCGTCGGAGGCTCCTTTGGGTGCCAGGAGGGAAAGTCCCAGTGAAGCCAGGTGGACGGCGCAGCCAGATCTCCTCGTGCAGGCTACCCTGCAGGGATGCAGTGCTGAAGTCGAGTGAGTGAAGCTCGTAGTCGCGCTGAGCGGCTATGTGCAGCAGCACACGAAGAGTGGTCATCTTCGGGGTGGGAGAGAAGGTCTGAAAGTAGTCAACTCCCTGCCGCTGACTGAAGCCACGAGCAACGTACCGCGCCTTGAAAACAAGTGGAGAGCCCGGCGGCCGCTTCACCCTGAAGATCCACATGCCACTGACGATGTTCGCCCCAGGAGGGGGAACCGCGTCAACGTAGGTGCCTGTGGACTTCCAGGAAGCCATCTCTGCATCCATAGCTGCCTACCACTGAGAGGAGTAGGGACCCTCTACGGCCTCCGCGTAAGAACGCGGAGTCGGGATGTCTAGTGCATCCGGGTCTCCCTCAGGGGCAAGCAGTACAGACGCGAGATGAGGTGAAGCAGCCGCTAGACACTGTAACTCCTCCTGCCTGTCCTCTAGGACGTCCGTGCCAAGAGCACACTCACCCCCGACGGACGGAGGACAGACAGACGCAGACTCAGCAACAAGACTAGCAGCGTAGTCGAGACGACAGGGAGCAGCAAAGTCAACGAGCTCAGCGACTAGAGCAGACGCAGCAGTGGACTCAAAAGAGGGGTCAGTGACGACAGTAGCAAGAAGACGCGTGACAGTAGGACTGGCAGCGCGAAGAGAGTCCGACTCAGGGTCGGCAAGCGCAGGAAGAGAGGACTCAGGAGGAGAAGGCAAAGGGGCACGCAGAGGAGCAGTGGACGGACGCAGAGACATCCGGTGCGTGCCAGGGACAGGAGGAGGACGCTGACGCGAACCGCGACCACTAGCGCAAGCAGCACGAACCGGCGACGCGGGACGAGACGCAGGCTCACGACGCTCAGCAAGACCTCCAATAGGACCAGTGTAAGGAGAGGGAGCAGGCAGAGGAGAGGAAGGCTCCAACAGTGACTGCGACTGGACAGGCTGTGGACACTCTACCGAAGGAGAAAGACCAAGAACCTGCTGTAGGAGCGGAACGAAGTACGGCCGAGGCCGCGCGGCAGCTCCAGACTCAGCAGGGACAGCACCAGCACCCTCAGCGATAGCACCAGCGCCACCAACACCTCCAGCGGCAGGACCTCCAGCAGCACCAGCAGCAGAACCACCGTCAGGACAGACAGCAGTAGTCTCAGGACCAACACCCTCAGCAGCTCCAGCTCCAGTAGGACCCGCAGGCCCAGCAGCTCCGGGACCGGCAGCACCAGCACCCTCGACGGTCGACGAAGCTCTAGCTCCAACAGCACTCCTCCAGCGGCAAGCAAACCACTCGCGCAGCTCCTGTGGAGAGAGGGGCTCCCGGCGAGACGCAGCAGCAGGAGAAACCCCAGGCTCAGCAGCTCCAGACTCAGCACCCCCAGGCACAGCAGCTCCAGACGTAGCATCCTCAGGCTCAGCAGCTCCAGACTCAGCACCTCCAGGCTCAGCAGCTCCAGACTCAGCACCCCCAGACTCAGTAGCTCCAGCTCCAGTAGGACCCGCAGGCCCAGCACCTCCGGGACCGGCAGAACTCGTCGAACGTGACGTCATGGGAGGACAGAACACGACGAGAGGAGGGGTGGTAAAACTGCCACCCCGGAGCGTCAGGGGGGAAGCCAAGGAAGACACAGGGAGCAGCACGAGGGGACAGCTTGTCCGCAGACAAGTCGCGGACAAACGCCCGAGATCCCCAGACACGGAACGCAGACGCATCGCCGACCTTCCCCGTCCACAGTAACACTGGGGACATCGCGGGCCGAGAGACCCTGGGGTGAAGGTTGAGCTGATGCGCCGCGTACCGAACCGCAAACGGCCACAGAAAATGGGGGGCAGCCGCATGCATCATGGACGTACGAGCGACGTCCATGACCATGCCAATGCGGCGCTTAGCAATCCCATTTTGCTGCGGAGAGTCCGGAAGCGTAAAGGTCTGGCGGATCCCCTGTGCACGACAGTAGTCTCGCAGAAGGCGAGAGGAGAACTCCCCACCTCGGTCAGAGTGCAGACGCAGAACAGGAAAGTCCGAGCCGAAGTTCCTCCTGAGCTGGAGACGAGCCTCGCGGATCCAGTCGATCAGCACCTCAGTGACAGCACCCTTGCTGCGCAAGGGGAAGACTGAGGTGTAACGCGAGAAGTCGTCAACCACCAACAGGAAGTAGCGCTCGTGACCCTGCCCACGGACGGGGGCCGGGCCCCACACGTCCATGTGAAGCGTCTGCAGAGGAGCCTCTGTCGGGGGAAACTGGGAGGAGTGAGGAGCAGCCCTGAGGCGCCCCTCGACACAGGGGACACAGGAAGGTCCTGGTCCCGAAGGAAGGGGAGGGAGAGACTGGGGAAGACCAGAGACAAGGACACGGGAAGCCATGCCCCGAAGACGGGGCAAGGAGGGGTGGCCTAGACGGTGGTGCCACAGAAGAGTCTCGTGAGACAGGAGGCGACACGAACAGGGGGCAGACTCAGGACCAGACCTGGACGCAGCAGCAAACACCTGACCCGACGCTGCTACCTGACCGGACGCGGGGACAGGAGGAGACTCAGTGGTCAGGGTGTAGAGGCTCGACCCCGGCCGACGCGAGAACGTGGCCAGGTGCCGGCCTGTGCGTGCGTCCGTGCGGTGGGTCACCCGCTGACTCGCAGGAGTGAACTGGTGAACCCCCGCATCCTGTAGGTCTGCACCACTCACCAAGTTCGTCGAGAACGAGGGGAGGTACAGGCCAGACAGGGTGCCCGAGGGGGCATCCGGACACGGGAGGACAGTGGAGAAGTGAGCGAGGACAGGACCCCCAGAGGGGTCAGCCAGGGAGACTGCAACCGGCCGACCAAGCGGTGTGAGTGTGGTGCGGTCCCGAAAGAAGGAGCGAGAAGCCCCAGAGTCAAGTGTAAAGGTGAGGGAGGCCGAAGCCAACGCGGTACCTGAGAGCGCAGCCTCACCCGCACGTGAGGAAGCAGACTCACTAGCACCTAGAGCAGCAGCCGCACCTGTACCTAGAGCAGGAGACTCACTAGCACCCAGAGCAGCAGCCTCACCAGTAGCTAGAGCAGCAGGTCCTATACCTGGGTCAGGCGGGACGCACAGGTGACCGGCACGGTCAGCACTAGTAGGCAATGCATACATGGCAGTGAGAATAGCATCATAGTCAAGAGCATATATATCTACCCTCTGCCTAAGCAACTCCACCCAGTCGGGAAGCTCAGCCTCGTCGCCAAACACGGTACGCCAGGCGTCGCTCAGACGGGCAAAGCAGCGGGACTGTGTATGACTATGTGTCCCACAAGGCTGACCAGTCCGAGTACCAGTGCGAATCACGTAAGAGCAGCGAACAGCACTGAGAGACCCTCCACTCTAAGCGTACCACTCACGAAGCTGGCGAGGCGTGAAAGACACGCGAGAGGGTCGCGGGAGTTGCAGCTGGCCGCCACCACGAGTAGAAGCAGCAGGAGTGGTAGTAGGAGTAGCGTCGCCACCCCTACAGCCCCAACCAGCGTACCACTCACGCAGCTGCTGGGGCGTGAGGGACTCACGCAGGCGTCGCTGGGGCTGCATCTGGCTCCGCAAGTAGAAGCAGGAGCAGGACTAGCAGCAGGAAGGCAGGCAGCTAGGCAAGCCAAAAGGCAGGCAGGCAGGCAAGCAGGCGACCCGCAGCGTGCTAGCAGGGCAAGAGCTCACCAGTGGTGGGAAGAGTAGGCTCGGCGACTCAGCGGCACGGCAGCTCGGCGGCTCGGCGGCTCGGGCGACTCGGGCGGCTCGGCGGCAACTGCAGCTCTGCAGCTCGGTGACTCGGCGGCTCGGCGGCAGGGCGGCTCTGCAGCAACTGCACTATAAGTGCGAAATGCCGGCCAGACTGGCCGATGCACCATTTTCTCTACACATGTGTGTTAGTTACCTTTCAAACCCTTACGTTCACTCGATTAATATATTTCCTACCTTAAATTTGAGTGAGATCACTAGATTCCGTGTACTATGCGAGATCTGAGCGGTTCCGTTCTCCCAGGCATTTGCACTCTAAGTTCCCATACTGACCGACCTGGCCAATGCACCATTTTCCATATACATATGCATTAGATTCCTTTCAAACCTTATTAGCTCACTAGATTTATATATTTCCCACCTTTTGATCGAGTGAGACCGCTAGATTGCCTCTACTTTTTGAGAAACGAGCGTTTCCGTCCTCCCTGGCCCCACTTGCACTATAAGTGCGAAATGCCGGCCAGACTGGCCGATGCACCATTTTCTCTACACATGTGCGTTAGTTACCTTTCAAACCATTATGCTCACTCGATTAATATATTTCCTACCTTATATTTGAGTGAGACCACTAGATTCCGTGTACTATGCGAGATCTGAGCGGTTCCGTTCTCCCAGGCATTTGCACTCTAAGTTCCCATACTGACCGACCTGGCCAATGCACTATTTTCCAAATACATATGCATTAGATTCCTTTCGAACCTTATTAGCTCACTAGATTTATATATTTCCCACCTTTTGATCGAGTGAGACCGCTAGATTGCCTCTACTTTTTGAGAAACGAGCGTTTCCGTTCTCCCTGGCCCCACTTGCACTATAAGTGCGAAATGCCGGCCAGACTGGCCGATGCACCACTTTCTCTACACATGTGCGTTAGTTACCTTTCAAACCCTTACGTTCACTCGATTAATATATTTCCTACCTTATATTTGAGTGAGATCACTAGATTCCGTGTACTATGCGAGATCTGAGCGATTCCGTTCTCCCAGGCATTTGCACTCTAAGTTCCCATACTGACCGACCTGGCCAATGCACCATTTTTCGTATACATATGCATTAGATTCCTTTCGAACCTTATGAGCTCACTGGGTTTATATATTTCCCACCTTCTGATTGAGTGAGACCGCTAGATTGCCTCTACTTTTTGAGAAACGAGCGTTTCCGTTCTCCCTGGCCCCACTTGCACTATAAGTGCGAAATGCCGGCCACACTAGCCGATGCACCATTTTCTCTAGACATGTGCGTTAGTTACCATTCAAACCGTTACCTTCACTCGATTAATATATTTCCTACCTTATATTTGAGTGAGATCACTAGATTCCGTGTACTATGCGAGATCTGAGCGGTTCCGTTCTCCCAGGCATTTGCACTCTAAGTTCCCTTACTGACCGACCTGGCCAATGCACCATTTTCCATATACATATGCATTAGATTCCTTTCAAAACTTATTAGCTCACTAGATTTATATATTTCCCACCTTTTGATCGAGTGAGACCGCTAGATTCCCTCTACTTTTTTAGAAACGAGCGTTTCCGTCCTCCCTGGCCCCACTTGCACTATAAGTGCGAAATGCCGGCCAGACTGGCCGATGCACCATTTTCTCTACACATGTGCGTTAGTTACCTTTCAAACCATTATGCTCACTCGATTAATATATTTCCTACCTTATATTTGAGTGAGACCACTAGATTCCGTGTACTATGCGAGATCTGAGCGGTTCCGTTCTCCCAGGCATTTGCACTCTAAGTTCCCATACTGACCGACCTGGCCAATGCACTATTTTCCATATAAATATGCATTAGATTCCTTTCAAACCTTATTAGCTCACTAGATTTATATATTTCCCACCTTTTGATCGAGTCAGACCGCTAGATTCCCTCTACTTTTTGAGAAACGAGCGTTTCCGTTCTCCCTGGCCCCACTTGCACTATAAGTGCGAAATGCCGGCCAGACTGGCCGATGCACCACTTTCTATACACATGTGCGTTAGTTACCTTTCAAACCCTTACGTTCACTTGATTAATATATTTCCTACCTTATATTTGAGTGAGACCACTAGATTCCGTGTACTATGCGAGATCTAAGCGGTTCCGTTCTCCCAGGCATTTGCACTCTAAGTTCCCATACTGACCGACCTGGCCAATGCACCATTTTCCATATACGTATGCATTAGATTCCTTTCGAACCTTATTAGCACACTAGATTTATATATTTCCCACCTTTTGATCGAGTGAGGCCGCTAGATTCCCTCTACTTTTTGAGAAACGAGCATTTCCGTTCTCCCTGGCCCCACTTGCACTATAAGTGCGAAATGCCGGCCAGACTGGCCGATGCACCATTTTCTCTACACATGTGCGTTAGTTACCTTTCAAACCCTTACGTTCACTTGATTAATATATTTCCTACCTTATATTTGAGTGAGACCACTAGATTCCGTGTACTATACGAGATCTGAGCGGTTCCGTTCTCCCAGGCATTTGCACTCTAAGTTCCCATACTGACCGATCTGGCCAATGCACCATTTTCCATATACATATGCATTAGATTCCTTTCAAACCTTATTAGCTCACTAGATTTATATATTTCCCACCTTTTGATCGAGTGAGACCGCTAGATTCCCTCTACTTTTTGAGAAACGAGCGTTTCCGTCCTCCCTGGCCCCACTTGCACTATAAGTGCGAAATGCCGGCCAGACTGGCCGATGCACCATTTTCTCTACACATGTGCGTTAGTTACCTTTCAAACCATTATGCTCACTCGATTAATATATTTCCTACCTTATATTTGAGTGAGACCACTAGATTCCGTGTACTATGCGAGATCTGAGCGGTTCCGTTCTCCCAGGCATTTGCACTCTAAGTTCCCATACTGACCGACCTGGCCAATGCACTATTTTCCAAATACATATGCATTAGATTCCTTTCGAACCTTATTAGCTCACTAGATTTATATATTTCCCACCTTTTGATCGAGTCAGACCGCTAGATTCCCTCTACTTTTTTAGAAACGAGCGTTTCCGTTCTCCCTGGCCCCACTTGCACTATAAGTGCGAAATGCCGGCCAGACTGGCCGATGCACCACTTTCTCTACACATGTGCGTTAGTTACCTTTCAAACCCTTACGTTCACTCGATTAATATATTTCCTACCTTATATTTGAGTGAGATCACTAGATTCCGTGTACTATGCGAGATCTGAGCGGTTCCGTTCTCCCAGGCATTTGCACTCTAAGTTTCCATACTGACCGACCTGGCCAATGCACCATTTCTCGTATACATATGCATTAGATTCCTTTCGAACCTTATGAGCTCACTGGGTTTATATATTTCCCACCTTCTGATTGAGTGAGATCGCTAGATTGCCTCTACTTTTTGAGAAACGAGCGTTTCCGTTCTCCCTGGCCCCACTTGCACTATAAGTGCGAAATGCCGGCCACACTAGCCGATGCACCATTTTCTCTAGACATGTGCGTTAGTTACCATTCAAACCGTTACCTTCACTCGATTAATATATTTCCTACCTTATATTTGAGTGAGATCACTAGATTCCGTGTACTATGCGAGATCTGAGCGGTTCCGTTCTCCCAGGCATTTGCACTCTAAGTTCCCTTACTGACCGACCTGGCCAATGCACCATTTTCCATATACATATGCATTAGATTCCTTTCAAAACTTATTAGCTCACTAGATTTATATATTTCCCACCTTTTGATCGAGTGAGACCGCTAGATTCCCTCTACTTTTTTAGAAACGAGCGTTTCCGTCCTCCCTGGCCCCACTTGCACTATAAGTGCGAAATGCCGGCCAGACTGGCCGATGCACCATTTTCTCTACACATGTGCGTTAGTTACCTTTCAAACCCTTACATTCACTTGATTAATATATTTCCTACCTTATATTTGAGTGAGACCACTAGATTCCGTGTACTATGCGAGATCTGAGCGGTTCCGTTCTCCCAGGCATTTGAACTCTAAGTTCCCATACTGACCGACCTGGCCAATGCACTATTTTCCATATAAATATGCATTAGATTCCTTTCAAACCTTATTAGCTCACTAGATTTATATATTTCCCACCTTTTGATCGAGTCAGACCGCTAGATTCCCTCTACTTTTTGAGAAACGAGCGTTTCCGTTCTCCCTGGCCCCACTTGCACTATAAGTGCGAAATGCCGGCCAGACTGGCCGATGCACCACTTTCTCTACACATGTGCGTTAGTTACCTTTCAAACCCTTACGTTCACTTGATTAATATATTTCCTACCTTATATTTGAGTGAGACCACTAGATTCTGTGTACTATGCGAGATCTAAGCGGTTCCGTTCTCCCAGGCATTTGCACTCTAAGTTCCCATACTGACCGACCTGGCCAATGCACCATTTTCCATATACGTATGCATTAGATTCCTTTCGAACCTTATTAGCACACTAGATTTATATATTTCCCACCTTCTGATCGAGTGAGGCCGCTAGATTCCCTCTACTTTTTGAGAAACGAGCATTTCCGTTCTCCCTGGCCCCACTTGCGCTATAAGTGCGAAATGCCGGCCAGACTGGCCGATGCACCATTTTCTCTACACATGTGCGTTAGTTCCCTTTCAAACCCTTACGTTCACTCGATAAATATATTTCCTACCTTATATTTGAGTGAGACCACTAGATTCCGTGTACTATGCGAGATCTGAGCGGTTCTGTTCTCCCAGGCATTTGCACTCTAAGTTCCCATACTGACCGACCTGGCCAATGCACCATTTTCCATATACATATGCATTAGATTCCTTTCGAACCTTATTACCTCACTAG